GACACAACTATCACTGAGAACACATCACAACCCCACGACACGACTATCACTGAGAACACATCACAACCCCACGACACAACTATCACTGAGAACACATCACAACCCCAAGACACGACTATCACTGAGAACACATCACAACCCCACGAAACAACTATCACTGAGAACACATCACAACCCCACGACACGACTATCACTGAGAACACACCACAACCCCAAGACACAACTATCACTGAGAACACATCACAACCCCACGACACAACTATCACTGAGAACACACCACAACCCCAAGACACAACTATCACTGAGAACACATCACAACCCCAAGACACGACTATCACTGAGAACACATCACAAGGAACCGCGACTGCCGTGTGGCAGTGAAGTGTGAAGTGCGCAACCACGTGACATGTCAGACATTACGTTGAAGTGTTGGCCGTGTCAATAGTTTAAACATGTTACTGGCTGTTTCATTTTTAAATCCTTTGTACTAACATCGCCTTTGTTTGGGGATGGTGCCTGTCTTGGTAAAATCTTCAGACGGCTAATTGATCCACTTCCCTTAACCCCCTAGCGCTGAAACTTGCCACACAGACTCGCTGCTGATGACAACACAGTGTAGGAAATGTTTTGCCCCACCCCCCACCCCAAAAATAAGTTTTTACTGCTTTTCAAGGAGAACGTGGAGTACATATTACGTCACGCAATAAAATTTCCGTTAATTGCGCTAAATGAGTTCATTGAAAAAAACAAACAAACAAACTCGCAAGTGCGTTTGGTCAGTAATATTTTCTTTTGTCATTCTGAAATAGTTGGTGAAATAAATCTGGGATATAAAAGCAGGTGGGTCATTAAAATTTCAATATAGTTAAGGGGCGTAATTAATATGTGCTGTTTATAAAGGATTTATACTACAAAAAAATTTGTTAGGGGTTGTAAATTAACCAATACATACATTAATGTCTAATCTTTGTTAGCACACTCCCATACTAAGCTATATTACACTAACCCCCTCCCCTCGTGAACCCACATTGTGTATTAAATCGTTACCACCGAAACTCATAATTTGCTATGTGCGTATGTTTGAGTATGAGTGCCTGGAATGAACGATGCAAGCAAGACAAGAAGCTGAGTGGGCGGCTGCTGACAGGGTAACAATTTATTCTCATTTACATCTGAATAGAGACACAAAAAAAAGAAGAAATAAAAGCAAATACACCTCACCTAGGCTTCGCAGCTTCACCGGAGATTTTTCTAGCGGAATGACCAAATTATTTCGTCTATGCCCTAGGGCGGACGGATGCCAAAAAACTCTTGTTTCAAATACCATGGAAAAAAGATATGTGAGCAGCGGTTCTCAATTCTTATATTAGTTTCAGGACCATTGGCAGCGCTTGTACATTGGTGAAACCTATTGAAACAAAGAGATATTGCTTTTTATGTTTCATGAAATTAAAGCGAAACTTTTACAGTTAAAAAAAAAAAAAATTAATGAACTCTCAAACACTCTCAGCTGTAGAGCAGATCAGAGAGACACTATGACGAAGAAATTCTAGGGTGAAGAGAGTCTAGGACGAAGAGAGTCTAGGACGCTAAGTCTTTAGGACGAAAAGACTTTAGGACGAAAAAAGTCTAGGACGAAGAGAGTCTGTGACGAAGAGAGTCTGGGACGAAGAGAGTCTAGGTCGCTGATTCTTTAGGACGAAGAGACTTTATGACAGGGGTCTCAAACTCAAATCATCCGCGGGCCGTAGGAGGTAGAGTCTGAGTTAGACTGGTCCGCCTAAAGTATTCCACACACAAAAGGCGATTACACATTCAATAAAGTGCAACTGTTACAATCTGCTAAATCTTCATTAATAGCAAATGAAAACATGAAGCGTTCTCAAGATCTAGACTTCCTTTTCTTCCACCTTCTCCTTGTTGCCAGAGATCTGGCAGCGCTTCTTCTTGCACCGCGTAAGCAACATTTAGCTTGAGTTCGGGAGCAACTGAGGCCCTCAGTATAGCTTGTAGACGCTCATCAGTAAGTTTGGCCCTGAACTTTGACTTGTTAAAGTTCATGGTGGAAAAGGTACTCCCAAAAAGGCACACGATCCGCTTGAACAACCTGGAAATCTCAGGGAAGGTGGAGGGCAATGCTCTCATAAATTTCCCAAGCGTGTCTGTTTTTCCATTGACCCCACTGAACGTTGCCTTAAATTCAGAATTGCTCTGACGATCAGTCAGCTCCGTATGGATGCGCAAGTTGTGTGTGTGTGTGAGAGTGTGAGGGGGGGGGGTATCTTCCACTTTGGAGGAGAAATTGTCATAAAAATTTGAAAATTGGCTCTCTGTGTTGTGAATTCAGCAAACCTGTGATACATTCTTCCCGTAGCTTTTCAATGGCATCAGTATACTTACTACTAAGTTACTACTGAATGGTGTGCCCGAGTCCATGAGTACTTTGCATGTTGGGAAATGGCAGGGATTTTATATGAGAAAGCAGGGCTTTCTATAGCACAAGCTTTGTACACAATGACATTGTCATAGGCAACACTGACAAGCAGCCCGTGGCCTTGTAACTTCTTGTTGAGGACATCCAGCTCCCGTGTAATGTCAACAAGAAAAGCCCAGTCCATGAGTCATTTGGGATCACTTAGTACCAGAACAACACCCCCACTCCATCCTTCCTTATGAAGGCTTTGATTTCTGCTCTCACTCAAAAAACTTTTTCAAGACGTTTCTCCTGCTAAGCCAACGAACATCGTTGAAGTAGATAACATCCTCATATGCTGACTCTATTTCCTTTAAAACGGCGAGGAACTGACGGTGCTTCTAGCCCCTGGATCTGAGAGAGTAAATTTGTATTATTTTTATCGTAAAAAAACACCTTTTTGACTAATCCCATTACTTTGGCCGCCATGTTTATCTCATAAAATTCTATAACATAAAAATCTTTAGTCCGATTTTAAAACGGTTTTGACCATTATAATCGAAGTCTAAACTTATACAAACTAAAATAAGGATCAGATATTTGCTAGTCGGTGAGATTCAACTGAAACAGTCACAACGGTTCACGTTATAGACTGGGGGGAAAGCGCGCGGGCCGCATTAAAAACTTAACTTTGCTGTCAGGTAGCGGCCTGCAAAATATCGTCTTGCGGGCCGCAAATGGCCCGCGGGCCACTAGTTTTAGACTAGACCCCTGGTTTAGGAGGAAGAGAGTCTAGAACGAAGAGAGTCTTGGACGAAGAGAGTCTAGGACGAAGAGAGTCTAGGACAAAAAAGAGTTAAGGACGAAGAGAGTCTAGGTCGAAGAGAGTCGAGGAGGAAGAGAGTCTAGGACGAAGAGAGTCTGGGACGAAGAGAGTCTGGGACGAAGAGAGTCTGGGACGAAGAGAGTCTAGGACGAAGAGAGTCTGGGACAAAAAGAGTTAAGGACTAGAAAGTCTGAGACTAAGAGAGTCTAGGGTGAAGAGAGTCGAGGATGAAGAGAGTCTAGGACGAAGAGAGTCTAGGAAGAAGAGAGTATAGGACAAAGAGAGCCTAGGATGAAGAAAGTCTAGGACGAAGAGATTCTAGGACGAAGAGAGTCTAGGACGAAGAGAGTCTAGGACGAAGAGATTCTAGGACGAAGAGAGTCTAGGACGAAGAGATTCTAGGACGAAGAGAGTCTAGGACGAAGAGAGTCTATGACACTGAGTTTTTAGTACCAAGAGAGTCTAGAATGAAGAGAGTCAAGGACGAAAAAAATCTAGGACGAAGAGAGTCTTGGACAAAGAGAGTTTATGATGATGAGAGTCTAGGACGAGAAAGTCTAGGACTAAGACAGTCTAGGGTGAAGAGAGTCTAGGATAAAGATTCTTGGACGAAGGTAGTCTAAGAAGGAGAGAGTCTAGGACGAAGAGTGTCTAGGACGCTGAGATTTTAGGACAAACAGCTTTTAAGACGAAGAGAGTCTAGGATAAAGAGAGTTAAGGATGAAGAGAGTCTAGAACAAAGAAAGTCTAGGACGAAGAGAGCCTAGGACTAAGAGAGTCTAGGACGAAGAGAGTCTAGGGTGAAGAAAGTATAGGACGAAGAGAGCCTTGAAGGAAGAGAGTCTAGGACGAAGAGTGTCTAGGACGAAGAGAGTTTAGGACGAAGAGAGTCTTGGACGTAGAGAATCTAGAACGAAGAGATTTTAGGACACCACTTGTTCACAATTTAGCTCTCTTTTTTTGTATAACAAGCTTTAAAGTTAATAGATTAAAAATTTTGGTTTAAAAACAAGAGACAACACCAAGAGTGTCTTAAAAAACTTTAATGGAGAAGCGGACAAACTTTTGTGACACTATCAGTAGCGTAGTTGAAGGCTGTGCCCTTGAAAAATGTTTTAACACTGATATCAAGTGATGTGTAGGTTTAAATAGAGACTTTGGAGAAGCTACAGCAGTACAGGTCACTAGCTGTCGAGGTCGGAACAGGTCACTTGCTGCTCTAAGTCAGTCGAGGTGCACTCTGTCCACAGATAGTTATTGTATACTGATAATATGTGTCCACTTGAAGTCCACTGCAAGACTGCGCCCACTTCAAGACTGCGTCCACTGTGGTTTTGTATCAGCTGTGAGTGTCTTCTGAACTGTGTCAAAGACAATAGAGCGTCATGACTGACACTGTCACATAGGGGCCTCAAGACGGACACTGTCACATAGGGCCTCATGATTGACACTGTCACTGTGATGTGCCCACGACCCTCAATGATAATCGGTCTGGGGCTCAACATAATTGACGTTACCCATATAAAGTTCCGTCACGTGATGGACTCTGTTCTGTGCTGAGTGGGGTAAGGGAGGCAGCGCCCTGGGTGGTATGTGGTTAACGCGCGCTTCATTATGGCTTCCCAGTAGAAACGTTACCCGGCCCATGTTACCTGCTGAGTCAATGCACGGGTGTTAGACATTCTTTTGTTATACATATATCTTTTTAAAGATGTGTTATAAATATATTTTCAGATCCCTTGAAACTTTTAGAAAAATTAGACTTGCACTTATAATAAAGGGACTTCGCCTAATTTAATTGTAGGATATGCTTTTTAAGATTGGAATTTTTTATTTTCACTTTTGTTAATATCTAATTGAATTGTAGGCTCAAGCTTTTTAAGATTCACAATTTTATTTTCACTTTTGTAAATATCTAATTTAAATGTAGGATATGGGTTTCAAGATTGAACATTTTATTTTCTCTTTTGTAGCCATGGAATGAAATGAGTTGAGCACTACTTAAAATACCGGTAGTTATCTAAGGAATTTCTTTTTTTTCTGTCTGTTATATTTGACCAATTTGGGGTCAGCGATTTGTATACAAGTTTGCCATCACTCCAAGCGTAGCAAAAAGGAACCGTAATTTTGGCATTTATGGTTTTACTCAATCAACTTTCTGTGACTGCAGATTGTTCAAGGTTTCCGAGGGAACACATTGTTTGTTACATGTACGTCACGCTACCGAAAAAAAAACAACCCTGATCTCTTCTCAGACTTGATTTGAATGAAACTAGAATTCAGAAACTGGATGAGGAAACTCTGACTTTAAAAAAAAGCATCTACATTAAATTTTAAATATTTTACAAAATGATATGTTTATACAATCAACGTTGTTAAATCCAGAGACGCTTCAAGACGTCACCTTCAATCGGAGTGATGTATTCGTTGTCATCATGGGAGACCTCTTTGCTGCTTGGAGCCTTCCTTTCTTGTGTCCTCGACCTATCGCTGGCGTGTTTTCTTCTCAAGAGACAGATGCAGACAAGGACGACGGTGCAGATGAGAATGATGGCACACATCAGACTGGCTCTCACACCCAGCGCTGTGGCCTTGACCTCTGACGGTTTGGATTACATTTTAGAAACTGCATTTTTACATTTAAAGGTCAAATTTCCTTTAGTGGAATATCGAAAATGTTCTTAAATATAAATAAAGAAATACAAATTGCCAATACATCACCAAGCACGGCTCACCTTTAGTTATTGTTGACTCTGGTCCATCATTAGCAACCTCTATCATCGTCTAATAATGTCCAGACTCTAATGTCGTCTGATAATGTCGAGCCTGTAGTTTCGTCTGTTAATGGCCTGCCTCTAATGTCGTCTGATATTGTCCAGTCTCTTAAGTCGTCTGATATTTCCAGCCTCTAACGTCGTCTGATAATGTCCAGTCTCTAACTTGATGTTGAGAAACTAGGTCGCTGTGGACAAATAGACACATTATTTTGTCTTTAAAAATAAAATATACCAAATTATTATAATTAATTACTATTTTTAAAAGAGAAAAAAATGTAATGACCTCGCGATTAGATGTAGTTATATTATTGAAAAAAAAAACAAAAATATATATATATATATACAATATATATATATTTATTATTTTTTTCTACAAATATTTTTTTTATTTGGCGCTTCATTTCAATGTTAATTAAAAGGCCGTAGAAGTTTTTTTTTTTTTTTTTTTTTTTAATGCATTGCTTTGCAACGCCGGGTACTTTCGCTAGTTTTTTACAATATATATATATTTATTATTTTTTTCTACAAATATTTTTTTTATTTGGCGCTTCATTTCAATGTTAATTAAAAGGCCGTAGAAGTTTTTTTTTTTTTTCTTTCTGAATGCAATGCCTTGCAACGCCGGGTACATTCGCTAGTATTTAAATATTAATTGATTACATTCAACAGACATTTTATACTCTTTAATTTCAAGACATTTATTACTAATCCGTTTTTTTTTTCGATTAAAATTGACATCATGATTTTGCTTTATAATTAGATAAATGATCATAATAACAAATTAACGGACGTCCAAAAAAGATGAGGGTATCGAGAAGAAGTGCAGTTTGATAACCTCTTGCCATGACCATTCATTGTGAACCGTATTGTAAGAATACTGTTAGAAAAAAAATAAATTAAGACCTAAGGCATTTAGTGTGATCTATTTAAACTATTTTTGTAGGAGTGGGAGAGTAGCAAATATGCCACTATTTTTGTAGGGGTGGGAGGGTAGCAAATATGCCACTATTTATGTAGGGGTGGGAGGGTAGCAAATATGCCACTATTTTTGTAGGGGTGGGAGGGTAGCAAATATGCCACTATTTTTGTAGGGGTGGGAGAGTAGCAAATATGCCACTATTTTTGTAGGGGTGGGAGGGTAGCAAATATGCCACTATTGTTTTAGGGGTGGGAGGGTAGCAAATATGCCACTATTGTTTTAGGGGTGGGGGGGGTAGCAAATATGCCACTATTGTTTTAGGGGTGGAAGAGTAGCAAATATGCCACTATTTTTGTAGGGGTGGGAGGGGAGCAAATATGCCACTATTGTTTTAGGGGTGGGAGGGTAGCAAATATGCCACTATTGTTTTAGGGGTGGGGGGGGTAGCAAATATGCCACTATTGTTTTAGGGGTGGAAGAGTAGCAAATATGCCACTATTGTTTTAGGGGTGCAAGAGTAGCAAATATGCCACTATTGTTTTAGGGGTGGAAGAGTAGCAAATATGCCACTGTTGTTTTAGGTGTGGAAGGGTAGCAAATGTGCCACTATCCCCGACCCCCGCCCTTATTTGTTTTTAAAGTATCAGGTCTTTGTACTCATTTCTCTACACCTAAGAACACAAAGTATGGACGTTGAGATGTTTTAACTCCCCTCACAGCTGGTCTGAATTATTTATAAATAGAAAGTGTTTTAGAACTACTGTTTTGATGCAATAAAATTTATTTCTATTATTTTATTTTTTTTACCGTAAGACTACGAAATACCAGGAGCAAATATTCTTCATCTTTCGAGGAATAATTGTTTCTAAGAAAGTAAAATGATTACTAAATATCTTTACCTTTCAAAAGTTTCCTTTCATCATTTGATACTGATATAAATAAATAAATAAAACTACAACAACCACTCACCTTTAGCTACTGTTGACCCCGGTCCATTATTAGTAACCTCTAGCATCGTCTGAAAATGTCCAGCCTCTAGCATCGACTAGATAATGTCCAGCCTCTAACGGCGACTGATAATGTCCAGCCCTTGAATTGATATCGAGGAAAGTGGTCACACTTGACGTTAGCGGTAGCTACTCACATAGCCCCACACGTACACAGATACACACACACAGAGAAACTTGGCCATCTCAGGTGATGTGTGCATCTATTATAGTCGAACACAAACAACTAGGAAATTCCCCAACAACCTTTCTATTTTTAAACCGAACAAAATAACCCTAGTTCCGTAAAGCTGTCAATGGGAGTAAAAGTTGGTTAGCACTGGCTTACCACCTGAAAGAACCAGCGCTTCTCAAACGGTTTATGTCTCTGGTGTATAAATGTATAATGAGGGTCCGGAGTTCGCTTTTTAAAAAGCTTTATGTATTTACACCATGTGTCTGAATTTCTATGGCTCCATAATTGCATTCTACGGCCAAGATAAATGATAACCAACACAAAAACACACTATACGAAAATGTGCGAGATCGCTTATGCCGTCATCGTCGAATGGGGGCCAATTCCTTTGAAAGCGGGGCGTGTTCATGTAAGAGACTAGCCATTTAAAAACATCAAAGAAAAGACAAGAAACGTGTTAAACACACGGTAAGGCTGTACCTGGATGAGCACACAGTGGATCTCAAACCTTAGGGAACTTACTAATTAGTTTTAAGAAAATATAGGGACGCTGTTGTCCGTCATGTCATTCCCATGACATATATAGTCAAAGTTTGCTTTATTGGTATTAGGGGACCTACCATGTTCGCTCATATTAAAAGGCCAAAACAGATCAATGGAGGAAAACATAGGCGACAATTTTCGTTTGGGAGTCTTCGCTAATTCGATACGTAAAAAATTGTTCATCAAAATGGTTCAGTAATGGACCACAAATTGGTGCGGTGCCTGACATATCCAGTGGTATATGGTGTACACAGTCGTCGGTGTTGGGTCTGAATTAACCATTTCCAAAGTGTTCACTACCATTCATTATCGGCTGGTCTCAATGTTCACGGTGCGCTTGCACGCAGCTTTGTGTGCTGAATGAATGTTGGGATCCTGCTATTGAAATTAATCCCCGTGCCATGACATTCACGCATTTCAATACGACAGGAATCGAGGTGCTGCGTTCAGGATGTTTTCAGTGTGTGTTAAAGGTGTGTTTAGTTTGTGTTCAGCATTCTGGATATTCGATGGTTTCTAGGTAGTCTGAGGTGTACAACTCGTGCAATTTAAAAAAAACGGATATCAAGCAGGACATCAAACGTCATGCTTGCATTGGATGTTACGTTCCATATGGAATCACGTGATGAGGTATCATCAACATAAAACACTTCAACAGTGTGTAGACATAAACCACTTCAACTGTTCCTAGACGTACAGCATCATCATTGGACACACACACACATACATACACACACACACACACACACACACACACACACACACACACACACACATATATATATATATATATATTTATTTATTTATTTATTTATTTATATATATATATATATATTTTTATCATGGTCACCCGCACCCGCAGGGGGGGGCACTTGCCCCCCCCCCCCCTGGATTGATTGGATGAATTTTTTTTGGACAAAAATATACAAAAAATGTATTAAAGTAAAGAGAAAATAAATAGAAAGTAACTAAGCTGATGTCCTGTCCGTTCGTTCACCATAAAAATACGCTACAGTAAAATAAAACTACATTAAAACATTACTAAAAAATTGTTGCACCCCCCTGGAAAGTTAATCGATTTTTTTGCCCCCCCCCCTAGAAAGTTTTCTGCGGGCGCCCATGATACTTATATATATATATACATATAAAGACCTCGTCCCAATAGAACATCCATTTTAATCTTTCTGGTGACCAGCGATTCTCAAAAAAAATAAAAAATCCATTTTGTTTGTCTACGGGAGTAGCTAGTAAATGGAAGAAGGACAGTGTACAAAATGGCAAGCTAGATTTTGATGTCTTTAGCGTTGGATGGTGAAAGAACGAGCAGTGCACACGTTGCCCACTCATCAAGCTCGGGTTCGTTACTCAGGACGTCGTCGAATGTGGAGTCGCAAGGATTAATGTTATCAAACACGGAGTCGCTATACAACAATCGTTTCGTGGAAAAAAAATTATCCCTTTTTTAAAGTTCGTCTTCTCTTCAAACACAATCGTATGGACACATCGAAACTGTCCGTGACGGACACACGTCCGTTATCTGTTATAAGTGACGTCACCTTATACGCACACGATCTTTTCGCATTCAAGAAAGAAAAAAAAATGTTGAAGAAGATTAAATGTTGTAAAAAGGTACAATGATGAAAAAAAATCTACACACACACACACACCACAAAAGTTAGTCAACAAATCTTTGTCTCGTATAGCAAAAATATCTTGATGATAAATGAACGCCAAAGAATCTCTCACGTGTCTCCTTTTGATAGACGGTTTTATTGATATTTCTAGAAAGGCCTTACACATTGTATTCCAAACTTGATATTTATACGTAATTCTAAGGAGACAGCCTTTTAATTTTTATTTCAACACGGTCAAGAAAGACAACGTTTTAGCTAGCCAAACCCTAAACGCGGTTCCGAGGTTGGGGTCAGCTAGAGTTCATGCACGGGGAAAGATGACGTAAGCACGCCTTCTACATAACATTTTGTCTTGTAAAGAATGAAATATTTTAAAAACACAAACATACTATTTGGCGGTGTTACGCACTGGCTTCTAATATGAGAAATTAATCTCCTATGTTAATTTTAATTTGCTCGTTGTAAGCAGTGCCTAACAAAGGACGATACCACAGAGTCAACAATATTAAAGATACGACACCCAAAACAGTTTCTAGTTACAATTAATAATATGTAATAAGTATTAAGATAATTACAAAAGAAAATAAAATATAATTACAATCTTCAACTTACAGTATGGTAGATCTTGTACAGGTTCACAGTAAACACATATTAATGTGCCAATGAATAATGATGAATGCGAAATAACACAAATAAGTATGAGCACACAAATACACAAAGAATAATACACGCCTCGTAAAGTTAATAAAAGCTATCTGAATCTCCGTCTCTCCGTCCGTGCCTTTCAATCCCTTATATAGGTCGCGTAAGCCCTGCCTTCCAAAAGACTTATGACGTTTCTAGAAAAATCACATTCATTCTACAAAATACTATTTGGAACAGATTAATTATTTTTGGTGGTTGGCGGCATAAACACGACAGATCAAATGACTAAGCCACACCCCTCTGTGAACACAGCGTCTCATGCGGGGTCAATCAGAGGGCACGCACGAGAAAAATTATGTAAACAAGCTCTATATAACAGTCGGTCTAGTCGGGAGTTCCTCCACTAACGACACGAGTGTTTTGTTTTTTTTTATTGAAAATTGTATCTGACAATTTTGTTGGTATAGTTTGTCTTCCAATTGATTCCAGAGAATCCAGACTTGCACAAACGGGCTAAAATTAAAACGTATCCAGGCGCGCATTGGATTCCGAGATGGATAAGACACATTTTTTTTAACCACTCAGCCATTAAGTTACCGTCCAATTAATTTTAAAAAAAAATTTAAAAAAAAACAAAACAACTAAAGTTCAACTAAAATTAATTTTTTGAAAAAAATCACTGGATTTGGTGATTTGATTAGTTGAAAATGTGTCTAATTATTGAGCCACCAACGGTGGCAAACACCAGCAGCTCATGCCAATCACGGGCGTTTCATGTGAAGCATGGTGAGCCTAGCCCTAGTCTGGGGTTGTTGGTGTTGCTCGTCCGTCAAAATCGACATAGATTTGATGCCATTTTTGTGTGAAGCCTTGACGCAGCTTTCAAAATACTATTAGATCAAAATCTCATTTTTGTCCAAAAAAAAAAAAAAAAAACTTAGTCTGGGGTTGTTGGTTGTGCTCGTACGTCAAAATCGACATAGATTTGATGCCATTTTTGTGTGAAGCCTTGACGCAGCTTTCAAAATACTATTAGATCAAAATCTCATTTTTGTCCAAAAAAAAAAGAAACCTTGCGCAAATAGAACGTTCATACAAAAATATGACGCAAAATTTGACAGAAATTTCATCATGTGACCTGACGCTTCGACAAATTCGTGTATCTTGATAAAATAGCCATGAGAATGGTGGCGACAGAGCTGTCAATGGTAACTTTAAGGCATCGGCTGTAGTAGTCAGGACAGCAGTCACTGTGGACAAAGCACACGTCATCACGCATGCATTATTTGAACCCCGTACCCCATGGTGACAGTGAAGTGGGACATTGACCCATGCACGTGGTTTCGCTTTGAGCATGCCCGTTGGTCCTTTTAACATGCGTTTAATTTCAATATGATATGATTGAAAACAACTGGCATTCTGAGGCGGTACTCATTGCTATTCAAATAAACGTATACATTTATTGATTCAGATAAGAATGTCTTATTGACAACATTCTTTAGATAAAATATTTTCCTGTTAAAAAAAGGATTGACTCTTATCCTAAATTCACGTTTGGACGAGGAAATTATACACGGTTTGTGTTCTGTACGTTTGTTGAATAACTCTTAAATACTTATTGTGTTATTTACTTTAAGCTACAAACACCACTGATTGATTCGTCGGTTTCGCAATCACATTTCAATTGACAGCCGACAATTACAGTTAAACATAGTAAATAGTGCAGCCCACAGATCTGAACATTTGAATGGGCAAGGATTAATACTTCAGTATGTAAATACATTTTTTGCACACACGTTCGTTTTCGGGATTTAGTTTCGTTTAAACTGTTCACTCAAGAAGTGATTCTGCCGCTAGTTTTTTTTGTTTTGTTGCGTCATTTTTCTTCGGTTTTCCCCTTGTTCTGCATATTTCCTAACCATGATCGCAGCCTTAGTACATGTGTTGTTACAGTCACAGTGGCTCTCTTGTTACGTGTCTTTGTTTTACTGAGATGTAACACTTCTTTTCATTTGTATGTTCTCCAAGATAAATCATTTTCTTTAAGAAACTGCCACGAAACTATCAAACATACATTTTAAAAAAAAATAAACAAGTGTTATTTTGTGAAGTAGCAAATGTAACCTTTTTTTAAACTGAAGAAGTTTAATTAAAATTTGTGTGGCATTCACATTACAATATACATAAACAGAAATAACAGAGCCCCGTGTAAATAGATTCTCGAGCGTTGCGACTGGTCATACTGGCTCGTAGATACCATTGTCTCTTTATGTGAAGGTTCCTTGCACGACAGA